AATCTTTATCTTCTCTTGTCTGCCCAAAATATCATTGATAACATCAGAATTGGAACCACTTGTAACATGAAAGTTGTAGGAAATTGTCTTAGCTTTCCAGAGAAAAAATTTGAGATCATTTGGACTTCTAGAACTCTAGATATAGGCTGAACACTTAATAATGTCTAGGTTGTAGGACAAATTCAGACTTTTTTATTATTGATACAATTTGAATTTGAAAATGGTCTTTTTAAATCTTGAACTCCAATAAAATTTGTAGGCCTATATCTTACCTTTTCATATATATAAAGTAGACTTAAATCTGATAACTACAACTCTAGATATGACCCAATTACCGAACAGTGTTCTAATTGGGACTGCACTAGCATCTCTTTTCTAAGTTTGGTCATCTCTTTATCCTTTCAATTTTAGTACTTAAACTCATCAATCAATCCTTTTATTTATGTGATAGGTCTGCATTTAAAATAAATATTTACCATAAATTAAAGGTATCTTATATTATTAGATATGTTATTATAAAACATGCTTTAGTTAAGGAGTTATTAATACTTCAAGTGCAAAATGATGATATAAAACCTTGATAAAAAAAATATAATTTTAAGTGCTGATCACCTATGGTCATGGAATGATTCGACTTAAAGGAATACTCTTAGGAAATTGAGTTAATTTAGATCTGATTGAAATGAGAGCTAAAAAAAAGTAATTTAGTCCTACATCAGTTACTTGTATTCACCGGCCAAGATCATATCACTTGAATAGATTTGATATGATTTAGAATACTTGTAATTATAATGATGGATTAAGTATGAAATTCTTGAGGGATTGAATTATATTCAGTTATGTGTAACTAAAAATATTTGGGGTATATTAGTACATTTTAAGGAATAATTAATTATGAGGTTGATATCTCTTATATGGCCTGTATTGGATTTATATATTGGAGCTCCTTTCATTATGTGCTTCAGCTCGCACGATCCGTTCATCAAGTATGAATTTCTTATGCAAGTTTGAAGTATACTATACTAGAGAGATTAGGTCCTTCATGGGCGAGTGGGAGATGTTAGTTATTAGGTTAGGCTTAATCCGCCTATTATGATGGATAGGCTTGGTCCAAGTTATTAGAGAATTTACTAAAAGAAGTAATTGTCTCCTCTAATATATAATGGGACATAACCTATATGGAAATGAAAAGTTTTTTATTTGTTGAGTAATCATTCTCTCTTTCTCTTCTCTTATCTTGGACACTTTGCATAACTTTGACAAGATTTATAAAAATATTTATGTTGTTGAATATTCCTTTAGTTTTAATAATTGAAGAAATATTGAAGTAACAGATTCAAGAATAAAAAAATAAATTCTCACAAATAAGTTTTTCTTTTCCAATCTACAATAACTATACTATATTGTCGGCGCCTTTCCTTGATAAATTCCCTTAATACAATCTCATTTTTTGTCCATTTCTTTTTCTTAGTTGTGTTTTATTTTAAAATCTTATTTTCTTTACATATTAGCCCTTAAGCTTGAGGAAGAAGAGAGAGTAATGACAAGAAAACAAAGTAGGATAAAAAAATATTTGGTTGACTGCTTTGGTAATGAAAAGAATATTTTTTCTATGTCAATAAATTTATTTATTTGAAAATAAAATTTAATAACACTATCAAATTAAGATTTCTTGATTAGTTTTTTTATTAATTAACATTAACAATTATTTTTTTTTATTAAATTATATAAGTCTCGGTCAAATTTTATGTTTCAAATCTTAATTAAATTCATAATCACTGCAACTAGAAAAAACATTTACAATTGCATATTTTTATTTTTTTGAATTAAATAAAAAATGATTCAAAGCGCCGACGGCTAGCTAGTGTTTGTCTCTTACTCTTCATTGAAAATTGTTTTACAACCAAATATCCAAAGCGCCGACAGTGCTTGTATTTACTTTCGGGCCTTTATATATCCATTCCCAATCATTCCGTTGCACCGCTGCAGAAATAAGAAGACTGTACGTAATTTAGTTCCTTCTGAAAGCAATAATATCAGCTAGCCATGACCTTCATAGGGATCTTCGAAATCTTCTTGGCTATCATATCCTATTTCTTTTTCGTATTTTTGAGGAACCGCAATGAATTCTGCATTAACTGGCCTCTGGTAGGGATGCTACCTAATCTTTTTCTCAATGTCCACCGGTTTCTCCCTTGGTCCACCGAACTTGCAGAGCGAAATAACGGCAGTTATCTCATCAGAGGTCCCTGGTTCTTTAACATGGACATTCTGGCCACCATAGAACCTGCCAACGTGCATCATATAATGAGCACAAACTTCTCCAACTACCATAAAGGACCAGAATTCCAGAAAATGTTTGACATCTTTGGAGATGGGCTTTTTATTGCTGACTCAGATTCATGGAAGAACCAGAGAAAGATAGCAATGGCACTTACCACTCATCGGAAGTTTTACCAATTTCTGGTGAAGACTACTCAAGATAAGGTGGAAAAAGGACTCATCCCAGTCCTTGAGCATGTCTCTAAGCAAGGACTGGTGGTGGACTTGCAATCTTTGATCCACAGGTTTTCATTAGATGTTGGATTCAAATTGGTTACAGGACATGACCGTGAACTACTCTCTATCGAAAACCGGGAAGACACATTCTCTAGGGCCCTGGATGATGCCGAGGAAGTAATATATTTTAGGTATTTAAAGCCAGAAATCTTATGGAAGCTGCAAGGGTTGCTAGGGTTTGGGCCGGAGCAGAAAATGAAAGAAGCATGGGAAATTATAGATCAGGTTGCAGCTACATCTATATCGAAGAAAAGAGAAGAACTCAGAGGAGGGAACATTTCGAAGAGAGAAGGAGAAGACTTGTTAACATCCTACATCAAAATGGAAGGTGAAATATTCATAGGATCAAAATCGCGAGACGAATTCATGAGAGACACCATCGTCAATTTTCTTATTGCAGGAAGAGAAAACTGTCTGGCTTGGTTCTTTTGGCTCGTGTTTAAAAATCCACGAGTAGAAGCAAGAATCAGAGAAGAACTTCAGTCTATAATTCCAGAAAAAGAAGCTAAGGATCAGTGGTGGCTGTTTCACACGGAAGAGCTAAAAAACTTGGTTTATCTGCAAGCTGCATTATTTGAAACATTAAGACTCTACCCAGCAGTTCCTGTAGAGCACAAGAAACCAATACAGCCAGATATTCTTCCAAGCGGGCACCATGTTAACCCAAAGATGAAGATCGTGTTCCTAGCGTATGCGATGGGAAGAATGACATCTATATGGGGAAAGGACTGCTTGGAGTTCAAGCCGGAAAGGTTTATTTCCGAGAGGGGAGGGATGAAACATGTGCCGACTAACAAGTTCGTAGCTTTCAATACGGGACCAAGAACTTGTATTGGGAAGAACATTGCACTCACCCAGATGAAGGCAATGGCAGCTAATATAATCTACAATTACCATGTTCAAGTAATGGAAGGACATCCTGTGGTTCCTGCTGGTAATTCAATTCTTCTTCACATGAAGCATGGCTTAATGGTTAGGATCGCTCGGAGATGGGCTTGAATGATCCCCTTCAGTATTTTACGAATAATATTGTCTGCTTCCTAAGTCTTTTGTTTGCTATGTATGCCGAATAAACCATCTTTTGTTTGCTATGTATGCTGAATAAACCATCTTATCGCTTGCTATTTCTATGTATCGCTTGTAATATATTCATTTATGAATATATGGAACTTGTAATTTCTTCATTTCGTGGCTCCCATATTGAGAATTTCTATGGGGTCTTAGCGATTATCTTCTCACTGCTTCTGTGCGCATGCATGGGATCCCAATCCAATTCTAAATTGCTATCTTCTCACTGCTTCTGTGCGCATGCATGGGATCCCAATCCAATTCTAAATTGCTATCTTCTCACTGCTTCTGTGCGCATGCATGGGATCCCAATCCAATTCTAAATTGCTATCTTCTCACTGCTTCTGTGCGCATGCATGGGATCCCAATCCAATTCTAAATTGCTTAGTGTCACAGGATTTTGGAAATTTCAACCATACATTAATTGCGCAACCTATTACTATTACTTGGACCAGAAGCGACTGGCCTTTATCAATAGAATATTTCTATCGGTAATTACTAGAGGAATCCCAATAAAAAATTTAAAAAAATTAAAAAGTATGATAATATATAATTTTTTATAAATATTTTTATCGATAAAATTATAATTAAATACAAACAAGAAAAATCATATAATAATATGTTATTTATACCAACAAAATTGTCAACAGATTGATAAAAAAAACATTTTATCTGTAAATTCATTAATATTAGTTAATATATAAACCGGTCATTAACCAAAAACTTGTATTGGGAAGAACATTGCACTCACCAAGATGAAGGCAATGGCAGCTAATATAGTCTACAATACCATGTTCAAGTAGTGGAAGGACATCCTGTGGTTCCTACTGGTAATTCTATTCTTCTTCACATGAAGCATGGCTTAATGGTTAGGATCGCTCGGAGATGGGCTTGAATGATCCCCTTCAGTATTTTACGAATAATATTGTCTGCTTCCTAAGTCTTTTGTTTGCTATGTATGCCGAATAAACCATCTTTTGTTTGCTATGTATGCTGAATAAACCATCTTATCGCTTGCTATTTCTATGTATCGCTTGTAATATATTCATTTATGAATATATGGAACTTGTAATTTCTTCATTTCGTGGCTCCCATATTGAGAATTTCTATGGGGTCTTAGCGATTATCTTCTCACTGCTTCTGTGCGCATGCATGGGATCCCAATCCAATTCTAAATTGCTTAGTGTCACAGGATTTTGGAAATTTCAACCATACATTAATTGCGCAACCTATTACTATTACTTGGACCAGAAGCGACTGGCCTTTATCAATAGAATATTTCTATCGGTAATTACTAGAGGAATCCCAATAAAAAATTTAAAAAAATTAAAACGTATGATAATATATAATTTTTTATAAATATTTTTATCGATAAAATTATAATTAAATACAAACAAGAAAAATCATATAATAATATGTTATTTATACCAACAAAATTGTCAACAGATTGATAAAAAAAACATTTTATCTGTAAATTCATTAATATTAGTTAATATATAAACCGGTCATTAACCAAAAACTTGTATTGGGAAGAACATTGCACTCACCAAGATGAAGGCAATGGCAGCTAATATAGTCTACAATACCATGTTCAAGTAGTGGAAGGACATCCTGTGGTTCCTACTGGTAATTCTATTCTTCTTCACATGAAGCATGGCTTAATGGTTAGGATCGCTCGGAGATGGGCTTGAATGATCGATCCCCTTCAGTATTTACGAATAATAGTGTTTGCTTCTTAAGTCTTTTGTTTGCTATGTATGCTGAATAATCCATCTTATCGCTTGCTATTTCTATATATCGCTTGTAATATATTCATGTATGAATATATGGAACTTGTTTTCTTCATTTCATGGTTCCCATATTGAGAATTTCTATGGGGTCTTAGCGATTATCTTCTCACTGCTTATGTGCGCATGCACGGGATCCCAATCCAATTCTAAATTGCTTAGTATCATAGGATTTTGAAATTTCAACCATGCATTAATTGTGCAACCTATTACTATTACTTGGACCAGAAGCTCTCTTCCATGTAAATGCACAGGACCAGCCTTTATTGGGACATTTCTGTCGGCAATTACTGGGGGAATTCCAATTAAAAAAATTTAAAAAAAAAGGTATGATAATGTGCAATTTTTTATGGGCATTTTTACCGATAAAATTATAATTAGATACAAACAAGAAAAATCATACAATAACATGTTATTTAAACGGATAGAATTGTAAATTGATTGACAAACAAAAATATTTTATCTATAAATTCATTAGTTTTAGTTAATATATGAACTGATCATCGACCGAGAACTTGAACTTGTACTGGGAAGAGCACTGCACTCACCAAGATAAAGGCAATGGCAGCTAATATAGTCTACAATACCATGTTCAAGTAGTGGAAGGACATCCTGTGGTTCCTACTGGTAATTCTATTCTTCTTCACATGAAGCATGGCTTAATGGTTAAGATCGCTTGGAGATGGGCTTGAATGATCGATCCCCTTTAGTATTTTACGAATAATATTGTCTGCTTCCTAAGCCTTTCGTTTGCTATATATGCTGAATAAACCATCTTACCGCTTGCTATTTCTATATATCGCTTGTAATATATTCATGTATGAATATATGGAACTTGTTTTCTTCATTTCATGGTTCCCATATTGAGAATTTCTATGGGGTCTTAGCGATTATCTTCTCACTGCTTATGTGCGCATGCATGGGATCCCAATCCAATTCTAAATTGCTTAGTATCACAGGATTTTGAAAATTTCAATTATACATTAATTGTGCAACCTATTACTTGGACCAGAAGCTCTCTCCAGTATAAATGCACACGATATAATTCAGAATAGTTATTGGAGTTGTCTTGGCATTTATTGGGGCCATATTATTTAATCTAACAATTCTTCTGCTATAAGGAAATTCCTTTCACGTGGAACTACAAGTATTAAAATATTATAATTACAAATACTAGTGTAGCAATATGTTATATAGAAGAATCACTGAAAATTGACAAATATAAATGAAAATATCAATAGGATTTTATAATCGTTATATTACTGTGATATTTACTGATTGAATTTTCATCACTAAATCTATCAGTAAACATCGACAGGAATATTCTCACATTATATACTAAGGGGATTGCAATAGAAAGGAAGAAATTAAAAAAAAAATCAAACAATATGATGACTTATAAATTTTACAAATGAAGTTATTAATGAAATAAACCCGATGGTAAAAATTTTCCATGAATATGCCGATGGAAAAAAAAATTCGGTATATACCAGTAATATTCCATAGGATATATTACAGTGGAATTCAAGAATGTAAATCATACAGTGATGTGGCATTTCTATCGACAAAATGACTAACGGTGTTACCATCAAAACAATTATGTTGTCAGTTCTTCAGTAATATTTAATTTATAACCTGGCGCTTGACCCTCCTCTCTCCCTCTCTCATTTCTACTTCTTCCTTATGTATTTGTTTATACAACAAACAACCCCCCCCAATCTTAACATAATTCAACCTCTCACAACTTCTCCCTCTTTCATTTCTACTTCTTCCTTATGTATTTTTTTATACAACAAACAACCCCCCCCCCTCAATCTTAACATAATTCAACCTCTCACAACAAATTTGGCAACCACAATACTTGATTTCTAACATCTATATTCTAATTTAAATTTTATTGAGAATTCTCCATTTTAAGTAAGCAAATCTACACCAATTTTTTAATTTGAACAAAATTTTAAAATATTAATTTTTTTATATATGTTTGTTTAGGTGTTTACTTGTTTTATAATTTTTCATAAACAAATTTGTTATATGGATTTATGATTTATGCATGTTAGGGTTTGTTTTAGATTTTGCAAAATTGTATTTGTTTGTAAATTGAAGAAACCTATATCGAATTTTTAACTTAGGTGTTTTTTATGAAATAAATAATGGCTTATTTAATAGGTCCATTTTATATTTTATCAATTTTATTGCCAAGTTGTAATTTTTGGTAAATGTGTACAAATTTAAATTTATGTAGATAATTGATAATGAAATAAGAGAAGCATTAAAATAGATTGAATAATCTTGAGTTGAACCAATATTTTTACAAATTTATTTAGTTGATGTAGTTAACTAATACAAGTTGTCATCACTATTTTATATAGGTTCAATAGAAATGATGGATGATTGTTCATGGTTGTATCAACATTCACCCAAAGGATTGTGAAGGATGTATTATTATAATGGAGTTCAGGGTTTTATCATTTATGCAATATCTAATCCAAAAAATATTAGTGGAGGCGATATTAGATGTCTATACAAGAGGTGTAAAAATAAAAAATAAAAATTTCTCGATCCAAATGTTGTAATGATACATCTTCTACAAAAAAAGGTTTATGGAGCAATACATGTGTTGGTATGCATATGGAGAACCATATGTTCCTTACGAGACTATGATAGAAAGGATGATCTAGTCAACTTCTAGTGCTAGCAACGTGTATAAAGTTGTAAATGACAATAGTAATCCTTATAGAATTATGGTCATAGATATGATAAGAATGAATTAGAGTCATGTCAGTTAATATTCAATCATAGATGAGGAACCTAATACAAATATAGCCAGGTTTTTTGATCTTTTGAAATATTTTGATGAACCATTATGGAATGGTTACGCAAATCATAGTAAATTATCAAGCGTTGTACATATGTTCATTATCAAGTCAGATTATGGGTTGAGTTAGGCCGGTTATAGGTTGAGTGAGGTTGGTTATGAAAAAATTATTGAATAGGCGAGAAGCATTTTACCTAAAGGGAACAGGCTGAAAGAGAACTTCTATGATGTTAAGTCCAAGATAAAACCCCTCGGTCTAGGATATTAGAAAATTGACATATGTCCAAACTTATGCATGTTATACTACCTTGAAAATACAAAGCTGACCAAGTGTAGTTAATGTAGGCATTCTTGTAATAAACCTAAAACTGGTAAAGGAATGACTCTTGTCGGATATAAAAAACTTAGATACTTCCCAATCACACTTAA